TGGCAGATGCAGTTAGCAGTCCACTGCTTAAATTATAGCGAGCACCACACCAGGATTCCTCCCTGACATGTAATAGGAGCTCAGAATTACTTATTGAATGAATGAATACCACTAAGGATCTAGGGAAATACCGTATGTATTTTTATCTCCAAGAAGCTGACAAAATCATCACCTCAGAATGAACCTTCCTCCAAAGAGAGCTGACAATGAAGATTTCCATAGTACTTCCCATCGTTCAGTCCTCGATCCACAGGATAGTTGAGCATAAAATGAAACTTCACTAGGTCTATAGGATTTTTGAGTTAAAAGTTACCTTAAGATCATCTACAGTTCCAAACCTGGCAGTACAGTAGTATCATAGGGGGAAACGTTTTAAAAGTTCAGATTCACTGATATGGCTTATTTGACCAGAATCTAGTTAATTAGGACCCTAGGATCTGTATTTCTTTAAACTCAAGTTCCACAGACAAGGCAGCCACAGTCAGTCTTTGGGAACATCTACTTCAGCTTCCTAATGTAACTTATGCAAAGACGTCCAACGATTTCCCTAAAGTCATTCAATTTGAAAGTGATAGAGCCATAACTGGAAACCCGCTCTCCTTTCACTCAAGCCAGTTTCTGTTCAATTCTATGGTAATTCAGATACTACTAATTCACCACCTGGGGGAGGACGGAGCATTTGGATAGAGGATGGGATCATTTCTGAGAGAAATTAAAAAGTAGCAACATATGATTAAAATACATAAAACATTGTGGCAACATCTTGCCAACGTTTCAATGAAACCTCTATTTAAAGATTCCTCTTTGGTTTTGCTCAGTTTTAAGAAAAGTCTTTAAATTGGTGTCGTTATAGAGTCCTGGTGTGAAGCTGTAGGATAAGCACAGGACTGCTAACCACAAGGTCGGTGGTTCAAGCCCACCAGCTGCTCCTCGGAAACCCTATACAGAGTTGCTATGAATTGGAAGTGACTCAGTGGCACTTAACAACAACAGTGTCTTTATAGCTTAATAATCTTAATAAATACTAAGTAATTTATTTGAAATGCCCATGTTTCCTTAGGAAGGTTTTTAAAAAAAAAAATAAGATTCCGAATAAACTTACATTCATGAAAACATCATGAATGTAGTTGTCAGTATCAGCATCCCAGAAACAGCGAGCCGCCATGCTAAAAAGGCAGAGAATGAAGAATTATCAATAACATAACAAGGATCTGAACTACACATATCTGTCATGATGCAAGCAAACGTTCCCCTTGATACATTCTTATAGACCGGTGCTTCCTAACCTTTTTTCTCAGGTGAACATGCAGAGAAAACCCTATCTGTTCAACATAGGACACTGGGCAAACTGAAAGGGACTGGAGTCATAGATATATGATAACAGCTATCGCGTATCGGGAAAGATTAAAATCTGGCCCCACTTCTCAAACTAGTTCCAATTTCATTAGGTCATAAAATACTAACACACATCAGAAGAATAAGATCATTTAGCTTTCAGCTAGAGGTGACCAGCCTAGGGCTCTAGCAGCCTCAGAACTGACTCACTGCCCTGAGGACTAAAGGGTCGTCAATATCGTGTAGTCTTCCGTACCCAGGGTTGGAAGCTTTGTTACAGATTACTTCATCCCATGAGTCAGTGATGATTCGACAGCAACTACCAACAACAAGATATTTGTGTGTGGCTTTCAGACAAAATAACAACTTCAGTCTGATGACTGAAATAGGCTCAATTCCTGTACAACAGCAAGAGGAGGCAGGTCTGGAAAGAACCCAAGAGATTTTTAGTCTAAGCTGGTCATTTTGTTGTAGTTGCCGTTGTGTGCCAGAAAGATTAATATCTGGTCCCACTTCTCAAACTATTTCCAATTTAATTAGGTCAAAAATATTTACACACATTGATATGACAATTTAGAGTTGGTGCTATATTTTAAAAAGAGAGAAAAGGAAGAGAGGAGATAGATGAGGAAGGAACAATGATAGGTTAAAAGAAATGTATTTCTAATTCTAAATTGATTCTAATTCAAGGTGGCCCTGTATGACAAAGGAGAACTGCCTCAAAGGGATTCCCAGGCTGTCATCTTTACAGGAGCAGATTACAGAGTCCCACAAAAGTAAGAGGAAAACGGAAATAGCATTCAGTCTCCTAAATAATTTTAAATCCAGCATTGCCTCTACAGATGCTATGTTACTTACATCCGCAAACTGGTCACTCTTTGCTATACTTTAGTCATATTCTGCATTCTCTAACCCCCCCGTTTTTAGGTCAGAAAACAAAGTTAATCAAAATAAAGGCCAATTACAAAGTGAATAACTTAAATGCCCACTAGTACTAGATCAGCTCCCTGCGTGGCACAAGCAGTTTAAGTGGGCAGCTACTAACCAAAGGTTGGTGGTTCAAACCCACTCAGAGCACCTCAGAAGAAAGGCCTGGCAATGTTTCTAAAAGGTCACAGCCATGAAAACTCTGTGGAGTGCATTCTATCCTGCAATACATAGTGTCGTCTGTCATGAGTCAGAATCAACCTGATGGCAATACGTTGTACTAGATTGGGAAACAAAATTATGGTCTTTCCTGGGCATAAAATTCTATGTATATTAAAGAGATGTTTTACCAAAAGCCTCAATGAAAGATGTTCACAATATAATTTTAACTGAAAAATAAATTACAAACATCTTACTCTTTTGATTAAACATAGATATATGATTCATCATGGTGAACACTGAGTACTTGCTTGCTAGCAACCACTGGTCTAAGGGCTTTACAGGTATTAACTCATAATCCTATGAGGTAGGTACTATTATTATAACCATTTAATGAATATAGAACCTGAGGGTCAGAGAAATTCATTTGTCAGTGGCCCTGCAACTAGTAAGTAACAAAGCCCACAGAGAAGGCTCCAGATATACTATATTGATATATATTTAAAGTTTGTTTGCTGTTGTTTTATTACAAAGAAGAGCACCCCTCAGCCTAATATGTCACATATTCTTAGTTAACGTTCTACCTACCTCCAAAGTATAGCAGTAACAATACATTTATTTAGCAACTACTATAGGATCAGCACTGGACTGTGACCCACAAGGTCAGCAGCTCAAAGCCACCAACTGCTCCTCGGAAACTCTATACAGCATTGCTATGAGTCAGAACCAACTCAATAGCACTTAACAACAGCGACAAATCACATGTCCAGAAGGATTAATATCTGGCCCCACTTCTCAAACTATTTCCAATTTAATGAGGTTGAAAATATTTACACACATTGGAAGAATAAGGTCATTTATAGTTGATGCTATATTTTAAAAAAGAGAGAAAAGGAAGAGAAGAGCTAGAATAGGAAGTAACAATGATAGATTAAAAGAAATTTAGGAGGCACATCTGCCAAATATAATGTGTGAACTTTGTTTAGATTCTAATTGTAGCTAACTAATTGTAAAAAATATATGAACACACACACAGATATAAGACAACTGGGGGATGTCTGAACAGTAATGGATATTTTATGACATTAATTATTGACAATATTTTAGATGTGCTAAAGAGCTCTGGTAGCGTTATGGTTACAAGTCTAGCTGCTAATCTCATGGTCAGCAGTTCAAAACTACCAGCCATTCCATGGGAGAAAGATGAGGCTTTCTGCTCCCAGAAAGATTTACAGCCTTAGAAACCCTATGCAGGGTCACCATGAGTCAGAACCGACTCCAAGGCACAAAACCACCACCACCACCACCAATGATATACTGTTAAGTTAAAAAGTCCTTATAAAAATTTGGCACTGAAGTAGTTCGGGCTGTTCAATGCAGTGAATGTAATTAATGCCACTGAAATGTATATGCAAAAATGGATGAAACTGCAAATGCTTTGTTATGTATGATATTGTTGTTAAGTGCCATCGAGACAGTTCTGCCTCATAGAGACCCTATACTGGATTTCTGAAGAACAGCTGGTGAGTCTAAACCATAGACCTTGCGGTTCAAATCGACCTTGAGGTAGAGTACTTATCCTATGGTGTCACACCAGGAAATATATATCTATTTTATCACAAGTGAAAAAAAAGGAGTCCTTCCTTATTTGTTAGAGATATATACGGTTGCATTCATTCATTCATAGATGAAATAGTACGATGGCTAAAATCACTTCAAAACTTGGCGAAGGCAAGAAGAGCAGATGAGCGTGTCACTGAAACACCTGCTAAATGCTAGTAACTACTGACGCTGGAGTACTGTTGTGTCACTGTAGGATCAGCAGTGGACTGCTAATAGCAAGGTCAGTGGTTTAAACCCACTCAGAAACCCTATACAAGGTGACTATGAGTCAGAACTCACTCAACAGCACTTAACAGCAAAAACAAAACACGACAACTGAAGCTAAGGCATAGAAACTTGGCAATTCTTTAGTACCTCATTTTGCATATGCTTGGATTTTAAATAATACAAGTTAAAAAAAAGGAAAGGACTCATATGCCATGTTTTAGAGTTTGTCCTGAGCACATTTAACCAAGTTCAGTATGAGTAAGGGACTTATATTTGACAGGATTTGAAATAAAAAACTCTATAGAATTTATGGAGTCCTGGTGTGACGCTGAAGGATAATGCACTAGACCACAAGTTTGGTTTGAACTGCGTAAGGTTGGCAATTCAAAACCACCAGCCACTCCTCAGCAGCCCCTATACAGGGTCACTATGAGTCGGAACTGACTCAACAGCACTTAACAACAACAAAGAATTTTTGGAGAGAGATTGAAATGTTATTTCAGGAAGACTGGTCTAGTATGCAAGATGAACTATATAAGAGAGTTCAAAGTGAAGAAGTGCTGATAGGCGGCTGCTAAATCACTCTGGCATCGAGATGACAGTGCATGCAATGAACAAGCAATGGATACACAGGATCAAAGATGGCACTATGGCTTTACGCTGCAGTCAATGGAAGCCTGGCTATACTACGAGAGGCAGGGAAATTAAAACAAGAGGCTGACTTAAGGAGAAAAAGACAGGGAAAAGAAACGATTTGAACATGATAAATTTGAACTGGCAGAATAGTACAGTCAAATATTTCTCAGTATCTTTGTGGTGAGGAAGTCTCCTGAAGTCTTTTGACCTAAGGGTAGAGGAAACTTAGGGTTAATAGAAAAACTACTATGTTGGGAGTCAGGATTCTGGCTGAGCGCTATTAGTGACCCTGAAACTTACCGGTTACATAATTCTGGGCAAGTCATATTGGAGTTTATACATATCATCTATAAAATAAGTGGACTGGACACTAGAAAACTCTCTCCAGACATAACATTCTAGAGTGAAAATTCTCAATGAAAATGCCATAGGTATTTTTTTGATAGAGTCAACAAATATTTTAGTATTTTCTTGATAAATACTGTACTAGCACATTGATTACAAAGGGAGGTAAGGGATTAACCCCTGGGCATAGGAAAAGATAGGAAATACAGACTCTGAACTCACCAGCACAGAAAGGACAGTGTGAGGTCATGAGAATGAATGAGCTCACTAAAAGAGCAACATGAAGAGCAGAGGAACAAGGACTGAGCCTTGAAGAACGTGCCCAGCTGGGGATGCTGAAACTCAAGAGCCAGTGAAGGAAAGCGTACAAACACTTAAACAGGAAGAGAACATTTAGACAAGTGACATCAAGGGCCAAAAAAAGAAGCAATTTTAAGAAACAGAAAATAAGGCCAAGAATAAGACCTAAAAAAGGGCCACTGGATTTGCTAATAAAGAGATCTCAGATAACTTCAAAGAAATGAATTTAGGGTAGTAGTATGATCAAAAACAAGGTCTATGGGAGGAAACATACAAGGGGGCTTCAAAAAGCTTGTGGAAAAAACAGAATTAAAGATAAAGGAATTTTCCACAAATGTTTTGAAGCCCCCTAGGATACATACAAAGAGCTCTGGCAGTGTAGTGGTTACAAGTCAGGCTGCTAATTTCAAGGTCAGCAGTTCAAAACTACCAGCGGTTCCACAGGAGAAAGATGAGGCGTTCTGCTCCTGTAAAGATTCACAGCCTCAGAAACCCTATACAGGGTTGCCGAGTCAGAACCGACTCCACAGCACATAATCACCACCTATATACATAATCTCATACTGCTTATGGGAACAGGTATGTGTAAACTATAAAAGACTTATTATTAGCTTACAGATACTATGAAAAATTAGTCACTCCATGAAGCTCACTGGACCATTAAACCTTACTGCTCAATACCAGGGATCTCTTCAGCTCACGGCTGCATTCTGTTACACTGTCCTCTCATCATGATCTTGCTGAACTGTCAGGAGGATGACCACCTAATAAGAAACATGAATGAAAAACAAGAAGGAACAACCAGCTACTCACAATACTCCTTCACCTCTTTGTTCTCCAATCACTACTTGCACCACCATTTTATATCGGTCAAATCCCATTCCTAGAAAGAAAAATTAAGAAAATTATCTATAAATAAACATGTAGCAAAATCATTCACTGCAGGCAAATTTCTTCAGAACCACATAAGCATTTAATCTGTAAGCACTTGTACAGTATGGTGGAAGCTTGGGAGTTAAGAGACTTGGAATGAATCCTAACTATAAACTTACTAAGTGTATACCTTAGACAAGGACAAGCAACTGAACTTTTAAACTGAACTTTTCAGTTTAAGGACCCGTCATCTCACCATCAGCTCATGAAACTAGGAAGATCATAACCTACCTCCTGGAGTATTGTGAGATTATACAAGACATATACAGTGTATCTTTACGTTGTTATTAAGTGCCGTCAAGTTAGTTCAGACTCACAGTAACCCTTTATAGGGTTTCCAGGGAGGAGCTGATGGGTTTGAACTGCTGTCTTTGTGGTTTGCAGTCCAGTGCTGATCCTACAGCACCACACCATAGCAACACGTACGTATAACATATCCACCACTTGTCCGTCAGCTTGTCGTAATGTGGTGGCTTGCATGTTGCTGTGATGATATAAGCTACACCACAGGTATTTTGAGTGCTGGCAGAGTCACTCATGGTGGACAGGTTGCTGCTGAGCTTCTAGACTAAAACAGATTGGGAAGGAGAAGTGGACTGCTTTTGAATGTTTAGCCACTAAGAACCTTATGAAAAGCACTGAAACACTTTTTTCAGGTAACACCAAAATATTTAATATTGAAACATAATGAAGAGCACCAGAATATTGTCAGGTATAGTGCCGGAAAATGAATCTCTCAGTTTGAAAGGCACTCAAAATATGACTGGGGAAGAGCTGCCTCCTCAAAGTCGAGTTGTAGGTGATGATGCAAATAGAGTAAAGCCTTCAGGGCCTCCATTTGCTGATGGAGCACAACTCAAAATGAGGAGAAACCGCTGTAAACATCCAGTAATAACTGGAACATGGAATGTAAGAAATATGAATCTATGAAAATTAGGTGTCAAAAATGAAATGGACCCTCAGAGCAAACCCCCTTCCAAGATTAAGACTCAATGGGACTACACACTGTGATTGGTGACCATGTTTATCACTGATAAGGGGAAGTGAAGGAAAAACAGCAATGAAGCTGCGAGCCAAGCCCTACAACGTTCAATAGATTCCTGTGAACCCGGGTGGAGACCTGGTTGGCCAGCAGTGTGGCAAGAGCTGGAGACTCTTGGGTCCAGAGTCAGTGACATAGCCACAGAGGACTAGAGTGGAGAGTGAAGCATCCAGCTGATAAGAAGAGAGGGCATATGCAT